CCTTTCCATTGATCACTCAGACGTAGTATACTTAGTAGTCAAATAAGCATTATTTTAGATGCTCTAAAAAATTGCATGAAATATGGGAATCAAAGTACAACCAAACAATAAGTAGTATCTACCAACAATGCCATAAGAGCCAAACAGTCATATCTACCGGGTTCATCTAAATGTTTAAAAAACTTGAGAATTGAATTATGAGAGACAGCAAGACGATTATGCGAATGTTTTCCTTTGTGTTATTAAAAATACAAGCTTTTAAATGAATAGAAGACTTCTTAAAGCGCATGCTCAGAACAACAAAATCACACGATAATTTTTTCTTCTTCTCTGTACCCTAATACATTTACACGCATGCTACATCTAAATACATATTTACATCAATTATAATTCAGCTGTCTTATTCGAAATGTTCATGAAATACAGTATAATATTAGACTGTTTAGTTCAACGAACAGATTAAAATTTTCACCATCATTTTGATTATAAATGGTTCTCTTAAAGTTCTTTACCCAGCCCTTCTAAACAATGTTTTTTTTTTTGGTTTTTATATATACTGTACATAAAAGTTATTTAAAATGTTTATTTTTATTTTTGATCTCATTGTCTTAGGAGAAAAAAATGCTGTTTGAAGGGTTTTGAACAGTTCCTTTTCTGAACTTGATGGATTGCTTTCGCGTTAATATTGATATTCATGATTTAATCATGTAATAAAACTAACCTTTTTAAGAAAAAGGAAGTTATCAAGACATTTCAAATTTTTGGCAGAAACCCTAACAAAGGTAAATCATTGTCAGGAAGGTAATTCACTGGATAAAGGATGACAAAAAACAATTCTTTAAACGTTATATATGTTGCAACTACACAATAAAAAAAATAAAAGAATAATTTTAACCGTAAAAATAGTAATAGTCCCTCATATTTATTGAATATTAATTATGACTGTCGTGAAATACATATAATATCATCATGAACAATATATATTGTTAATATAGGTGATCACATCTACTGGTGCTGTTATTATAAAACATGTCAATAAAATAAATTATTTTATCTTTTTTTGTTTGCCTGGTATTTCAGTGATTTGTTGAAATCTAATGTTAATTTTGTCCACCAACCACATAGAAATCATTTGGTCATTTTTCAATGAAATATTCATACATGTAAATATTATAATTGAACATGTGTGTGTTGAATGTAAATTGGTAATCTTAGAACAAATGTAACCATAGAAGAAATATTTACTTCGAAAATTATAGTATCTGTTTTTTTTTTAACTAACTATACATACAGGTAATTTTCAAGTGATAGAATAGAATCAGTATCAATATTTTAGATTCTCTCCTATAAACAGGTTCACACGATTAAAGTCTATATTAATATGTGCAATGTTATATATATATCGGCTTTCAATACATATCAGTATTAAACACGGATATGTGTAGAAAGCTGTCAAAATATGTGAAAAAGTTAAAATAAAATTAATACTATACGAACGATTGAGTGTATTCAGTTATTATAAGCAGTACTTACCACATTTACGAACGTCCTTGTCTGCGTGCAGCATATTTAAATAATCGGCCAGTGTGCAGTCTATTCATGAGGTTGCTACCACGTGATTTCTTTCTAATTAATATTCAAACGATCCCACAAAAACTAAAATAAACCATTTCTTTAATTCTTAAAATTTAAAGAAGCAATCCTAGTTTGTTTTTAATTCTCATAAAACCCCCGTCATAGTTATATTGTTAGAATTCTTCTGCTCGACAGTTGACAATTTTTAGCTCTACTGGACAGAGACCAGAAGAGCTTATGCAATAGTAATGCGTCCGTCCGTCTGTCTGTCTGTCTGTCTGTAAACAATTTTTCAAAATGCTACTCCTCCTACAGTTTTGGTCCGATTTCAATATAACTTGGCACACAAGTAGACTACACTAAGATACATAATTCTGTGCATCGGTTTTTGATTTCGGTGAACGGTGTTGCCATGGTTACTAAAAATAGAGAATTCTGTGAAATTGTTTCAAAATGCTACTCCTCCTACAGTTTTGGTTCGATTTCAATATAAATTGGCACACAAGTAGACTATACTAAGATACATAATTCTGTGCATCGGTTTTATTTTGATGAGTGGCAAGAATCATTTTTCTATTTATTGCTGATTTAAAGTCTCAAGTCCCAACTGCTACTTTTCTCTTCCTTTGTTTTAAGTATAAACCAGTAGAGCTACAGTCTCGTCAGAGACTTCTGGTTTATACCCGTCTTTTAAAAAAACAAGTAGGTCATACGAATGCGAGTCAAGAGTTTCTGATCCGCTCCGCTCCACATAAATCCTTGACCAAATAGGCTATGTTTGATGGGGTTAGAAATTTGCTCTACGATTGGCCTCATGAAACGTAGCATGAGCCAATCAGAAACATCGTTCTATTATACCGAAAACTTCGATTGTAGACAGAAAAACATGTGGTCTGTGGTTCCTGTTTGCTGTCAGTTCGTAAGTATATCTACATAATATCTACATATTATTGTTTCTTTACTAAAGTTTATTGTATTAATTAAAGTACTGAAATTATTACGCTCTTCGCGTACCTTCCGGCTTCCACGCTGAACCAGAATGTAAGTTTTTTGTGGTGCAAATTCGGACTGAACATTTGCTTGAATATTGTATTTATAAATATGAGAAAGACATATTTTACCCTTTCTGAATGAAAAAAAGACAAGCGGAGAGATTGCTATGAGTTTAATGATTTTTTGTCAGGTTTGAAGAGGTTTCCATGTTGACAATTTTATACGGATGCATTATATATTGAAGCAGGATTATTCAGGGCATACTAATTGATAAATATTCTTTTAAATAGCTTATTTATATATTTTAAGTTTGTTTAAAATGGCTTCCATAGACCAAGAAAAGTGCAGACTGTGCGCAGAAATTTTGTCAAAGAAACAAAGAAGACAGATTTTTTTCAGATGCATTCAGAGTTTTTTGTCAGTTGGTAGAAGTCATTGGTTATAAACCAACCAATTCAGATGGACTGTCGAAGTGTATTTGCTTCCGTTGCTTCAATAGACTTAACAGGATTTCAAAAATTGATTTTGACTTAAAGAATAGACTAGATCAGTTAAAACTTAAAAAGAGAAACATAATTTGTGAAATAAGAAAGAATATCACATTCACTAAAGCAGACCAGACACATTTATTTGCACCTAGTGAAGAACATAGTGAGACACAGAGTCCAACTTTTCATTGTGTAGCAGTACAGGATAGTTTACCATCTGGAAATCACCATGGCATTTGTGAAAAGAAAACATATAAACATAGTCCAGCTAAATTCGTAGGAAAAAGACATATAACACATACACCAACACCAAGGAAGAAGTAAGTGTTAAAAATACCACCGACCAAGACCGCTTCATGTGAGATTCCCAAAGCCAAAAAAAGATTGAATGTTACTCAGAAAATTCTTTCACCATTCAAAGCAAAGGTAAATATTATATTAATGTGAAAAAAAAATTCCAGTGGAAAAGGAGTTAGAATCTATATATGCCTAAAACATACATCTTATCTGTGCCATTTAATTTTGATAGTCAAGTTGCAATGTACATTTTGTACACAGCCATTATGAACTTTTAGTCGTGATATAAATTATAATATGTTGTATCTTTTTACTTTCTACCACAAAGAATTTCGTGTAAACATTGTATATACATGTAATGTCAACATTATCTGAATAATTAGCATGATTATCAAGTAAATGTTTAACATTTATGACTTATTGTACTGCAAATCAATTTCAGGTTCAAGTTCGTTCAGCGACAGACAAATTAAGAACAAGAATAGTGAAAGAGAAGGGGTTATATGCAGTGTTGGTTGGGATTGTAAGAGGACAAAAGTCCTCCGTGATAGCCAAGAAGTTATTTAGTATTCCACAAATGCAAGAGCATATTATGAAGTACATTTTGAAACTTATAAACACTGAATGTATAAACATGTGCAAGGAGAAAGACCCATCTATCTTAAGAAATACAGGAGCAGATCATTTGACTTTTCTCAATTTTCAAAGAATATCATTTGAACTGCGCCTGTTAGCCCCGACATTGACACAATTTTTGAAATGTTGCATCAAAAGGGTGACAATGAAATTGCTTTATGTGTCCTGAGTTCCCTGATTTTACGAAATAACAAAATTTCCAAGCTTCATCAAGTCATTGGACAGCTATTAGACCGTGGTGGAGCCACCAATGAGGTAACATACTATTTTTTTGTAGACTCTAAAATAATTTTACTATAATTTAATGTTTTTGACATTCTTTGTATAAACTAGAGGTACATGTACTTAAAAATTATGATACACAATAGAAAGAGAGACAATTTTTGAAGGCTTATTTTATATTGAATTTAAACATGTTAAATGATTTCCTAGCATGATCTGGAAACTCGTATCTTATTCATATTTAATATTGGAGAATGTTCTTCATCTGTCATGAATTAACGGGTATATTTTTGTACCAAAGAGAATGACAGAAAATATGAAGTTCATATTGTTTTAAATTACCATGATTACTACTAGTATGCATAACATTGACACCAGAAAAGAATATGGACTTTCAAATTGTAGATTTTTTTTAATAACTACTCTTAAACAAGCCATGTTGTTATGTAAATGTTTTCTCATTTTAGACACAGAAATGTTGTCACACATGGGACTGTCAGTTGGTCCAGACTCTGTATCCAGAAAGTATGATGAAATGGTATCCAGACAGAGAAGATTGATCAAACAGAATGTGAAAGGTCAAATTCAGCAATGCCAATTGTTAGACAAAATGAAGAAAACAGAAGAGATGGTGGCAAATTTGAAAGCTGAAACAGACTAGAACCACTACTGAAAGTGTCCCAGGTCGTGGATGTGTCTAGCTCAGTAGAGTCAGCAAATCCAAGTGAAGCAGGTACGTCAGAAGGTCTTAATTATTTTGACATGTGCTCTAGTTACAAAAGTCACAATATGACATACATGTCATGCAAAAGTGAACCCTTGCCTACAAAATCAAATTGTACCAGTAATGCAGGATGTGCTAATACCAGTTTACATTGCACTGTCCCTCCACAAATCTGTGTTCCTTATGATTCTGGTGACATTACATTACCTTCTCTTCCACTGTATGAAAGTTATGGTGTTTCCACAAGTCCTACTGTACAGGCCTCCTCTAAAAAGACTCTGGAATATGCCACAGCATATCTTAAAGAAAACAAGGGTAGTGCAGAGAGTATTGTCGCTGCTTATGACATCATTGGGGACAATGTGGACCTTATGAAATCACCCTCCAATATGTCATCCAAGAAGCAAAGAGAGAGTTTGCACTGGTTCTTGAATGTAGCCGTGCAGCGACGTGTGGTTTCATCATTGCCGAATGACAGACCTATTTCAGATATCATGGATGTACCCAATCATGCATTCATTCCTAGTTCAGATGATTGTGATGCATTAGAGAAGAACATGGTATTTCATATTTTGAAAGTTGCTACTAAATATGTTAACTGTCTCAAGCCCTATGCAGATTGTGTACCAAAGTATTTAGATCACCCCCATATTGAAGAGACATCAAAGAAAACAAAATACTTCATAGCAGATCTTCTTGACAAAAGCGAAAATAAATCAGAGGAAATGATCTCGATATTGCAACATATACATGAAAATTACATAGCTCATACTGAGGATGATCCACCAGCAGTTATTGAGAAAAGAGTCTTCGGAGGTGACGTCCTAACCAACGAGCGGGCATATTCTGCACAAATGGCCATGATGAATAGCCATAGTGATTTCTTTCGTCTAGCTGGTATTATTCACAGGCCTGAGGGACTCCATCGACTGATGAATTTTCTATTGGTATCCATGCATGATATGCTGAGGAACTGTTCTGTTTTTTAAAAGTTAGTTTTCATTTTCATCAAGTATATGATTTCCAACAAGAGTCTTGTATTCACTACAGCTCCACATTTCTTATATATACATTTGTGATGAAATGGATTTTAAATCAACTATGTTATATATATATACATACATATATTTTACCAACATGTTGGAAATGATACAAACATGTTCAGTTTATTGTTACTGTTAATTTTATGTATGTTCATTACATTAAGTTATGAAATTTCTCAATTTTTCCATGATGCTTTCAATTTTACTAACTATTGTTGTGAGAACAATTATTTATTTCAACACTAACATTTTTCCCTTATTCTATTGGAAAATAGCAATTAATTATGATATTATGATTATCAATGTTGATAAAGAGTTAGGTGATAAGACAAATTCAATTGCATGAAATATTAACAGGACAAAAAATTCTTGAAAATTTTAAATCTTATATTTTCATCATGTTTATATTTTACATTTATTTCACAGTTCATCTATCAAGAGTTCTATAAGACCTCCTTAGCACCAGAACAGGGTACATTATTCCAGTTGAGGAACTTTATACATAGAGTAGATGTCAGTGGTGGAGATGGTGCTGTAGACAAATTCAGGTAAATGTACATGCATTGTACCAGGGGTATATGAAAAAATGAAGCATGTGTGCAGAAGTGAATGAATTTCATTTTTGACATATTGAGTTGAAGGTACTTTACAAAATTAAGATTAAAAAAAAAATCTGTTACAGGGCACATTATGCATTTGTAATGGACTGTCTAGATGCATATATTCTTGGAGCTGTTTTTGAGGTAATGCAGCTGGAAAATTTTGATGGAATGCCAATCAAATGGCGACCACCCCCATTACTGATGACAGCAGAGAAATCTGATCAGTACCAATGGTTGACCGAGCTGGCCCAGGAAATATTAGAGAAACATGTTAAACTGAATGCAGGTAAGAATTTAAGTTTCTCTGTAAATGTTCAGGGGTTTGATCTGACAATTAACTTCATTTTAATTACAAATTATTGGTGAAACACTCAGAACACTTTCAATGCTTTCTATTTACAGACAAAAATTTAACCAGAATGAGTGAAGAAGCCAAAGAAATGGATACTCAGACTCTCACCATGCAAGGGATGTTTGACAATGGCCTGCAGAAATTTGTGTGCACATGTGGGAAACAGTATAAGACTGCTGGTTACTTCAAGCGACATTTGGTCAGTACACATAATTGGTTGTTTAGAGAAGATGATGATCCGACTCCTGACTCAAGTACAAGTGAAAGCAAGACAGACAGTGTTGCCAACTACCGTGCATCTTTCATGAAAAATGCTCTTCTACTAAGGGATACATATGATGCGTACTCTATGTGTGATGGAGAACGTGTGGTCCGCAATGCTAAATTTGAATTCCTCTGTGCAGATGTTAGAAAACACAACAAATATAAACTTTGGTTGTGGAGGTTCGTCGCTTACATCATAGCCCTTCTATCGCCAAAGCAGGCCTATGAGTACATGTGGAACTGTGCTGCTAATACCACTGGGGGCGTTGGGAAGAATATACCGAATGATAATCTGGTAGAGTTTATGGTGCAGCTAGTGAAGAAAAAAATCAAGGAACAGGGATCAAATTTTACATATTCAAGTGCAGTAAAAGCAGCACTATCATCACAGGTTCAGGAAGAGATAAAACAGAACTTGCAGCAGGAAATCCAGCAGAAAACCAAAGGGAAAAGTAGAACAAAAACAAACAAGTTTTCAGACATAGAAGTCATGGTGTTGGAGCTCAGGAAAGGGAACGTTTTTTCATACATTCCTGGTAGGGAATTCCCGTCGTTCAAAAAATTTCAGGATGCTTCAGAAAGAGTGAATTTGACAAAATTACACACCTGGGTGTCAAAGCAAAAGGAACGTGCCTCATTTGAAATGTTATGATTCATAATTGAAAATTTGCATTATATTACAACTATAGCCTTTTGATTAGGTCAATCCCTAAATATACATATATATATACTTTAGAGAAAACATTTTGACCGATCACGAAGTTTTATCAGTTAAATAGAAATGTCTTAAAATCCATGTTTTTAATACTCAATATTTTCTCATATAGGGCATTGTTATGTCATTTGAATTATGATGTCACAGTAATGAATAGCAGTATCTCTTTTTAGTAAGACCCAGTTTATATATACTTTTGTGATGTCAGTACTATTGTTGCTTCACAGAAGAACGCTTCCACTTTTAGAATCAGTTGACGTATCCATTTTATATTACACTTTTTATACTTTATCATGTGATCTAGTTTGAGCCGATCAGATAGCTGGCAACAATAGAGGAAAAAAATAATTTGTGTTAAGACAGAAAAGTTTTATATTCTATATGCATATTAAAATTTCATCCCTGTTCCATATGTCTAAAAGGTTCCACATATATACATGTATTTTCATATGTTGATGATGTTATGGGTCAGAATAACCCTAAATGCCAGCAAAGATCAATCACACAGTTTAAACTTAACAATAATTTATTTACAGTAATATACAAATCATTAAGTACAAACTTAGCAAAAATCTAAAAATACATACATCAGAGTGTCCGTTGCTGCACACAATGTCCCAGTGAAATTATATCCCAGTAATACCTCAGTGATGCTTGTACGACAATTGTATCTATGCATCGAATTGACAGGATATTTATACAGTAATATAAATCTAGAATATTCTAGAAGTTGTAAGTACATGATATTACTGGAAAGTTCTGGACATACACAAAGTTCAAGAATGTTCTAGAAAAAAATGACCAAACATATGGACCACTCTGGAATGTTCAAGAAACTTAATGTTACTAATAATATACATGATGAAACAATACACATCTCACAACACCTCCCCCCTTAAAAAGTTTGAATGTCAATGAAAACTTACATTGTTAAAATGAGATATATGTACATTAATACAAAATCATATATGTTCACGATACTCTGGACAAGGCACCTGCAATAACATTGTCTTTGCCTTTGATATGCTTAATAGTTATGTTGTATTCTTGTAACAACAAACTCCATCTAGTCAGTCTTTGATTTTTGTTTGACAATTTATGCAAAAATGTCAGGGGGTTGTGATCCGTATATACAAGAATTGGATGCAAAGTAACATTCAGATAAACATCAAAATGCTGTAAGGCTAACAACAAAGCAAGGCATTCCTTTTCAATGGTGGAATACTTTTGTTGACATTTTGTAAGTTTCTTTGAAAAATAAGAAACAACTCTATCTACCTTATCACTATGTTCTTGAAACAAAGCTGCTCCGATTCCAACATCACTAGCATCAACAGTAAGCTTGAACTGCTTAGAAAAATCTGGAGTTGACAGAACTGGGTTGCTCATAAGGACAGATTTGATTTTTTGAAATGATTTTTCACAGTCCTTTGTCCATTCAAAGTTAACCCTCTTCTGCAAAAGATTTGTAAGTGGACTTACAACTGAGGAAAAATTTGGACAAAATTTTCTGTAAAACCCAGCCATGCCCAAAAACCTCATTAACTCTTTCTTGTTTGTAGGAATCGGGAACTTTGCAATAGCTTCCACTTTAGCCATTATGGGTGTAACATAACCTTGACCTACTTTATGACCTAAATACTCTACATAAGCATGACAAAATTCGCTCTTCTCAAGGTTCACAGTTAAGTTTGCTTTAGCTAAAATGTCAAACAAAGCACGCATGATTCGGAGATGTTCGTCCCATGTGTCGCTGTATATGATGACATCATCAATGTAGGCCTCGCATCCCTCAAGGTCTTGAAGAAGGGAGTGAATCATCCTTTGGAATGTAGCTGGTGCATTTTTCATGCCAAAAGGCATTACTTTATACTGGTAGAGTCCATCTGGTGTAGCAAAAGCAGATATTTCTTTTGCTCGTTCTGTTAACGGTACTTGCCAGTAGCCTTTCAACAGGTCAAATTTACTGACAAATTTCGCGTTTCCAATTTTGTCAATACAGTCATCGATTCTAGGTATTGGATATGAATCAGTTTTGGTAACAGAATTCACCTTTCTAAAGTCTGTACATAATCGGTAGGTACCGTCCTGTTTTGGTACAAGAATACACGGTGAGCTCCAATTACTTTTACTAGGTTCAACAATGTCATTGTCCAACATATACTGCACTTCCCTTCTTAGGTACTGCAATTTTATTGGATTAAGACGGTACGGATGTTGTTTGATAGGCAGAGCGTCACCCACTATGACATCATGACAAGCTGCATTAGTTTTCTTTGGAACATCCGAAAAGATGTGATGATACTCACTCATCAAGTTTTTAACTTGTTCCTTTTGGTGAATGTTCAAATGTCCAAGTTTGGCATCAAAATCAGCCAAAATTTCTGAGTTTTTCAAGCGGACACTCTGATTACAATCTTTCTTATTCATTTCTACACTCGTATCACTTTCAATACAATTTTGAACAGTCTTAGCATTGGCTAAAGTGGAAACTGGTTTTACAGAATTTCGGTCACACCTTTCAAAATACTCTTTTAACATGTTAATGTGACAAACCCGTTTCTCTTTACGTCGACCTGGTGTCTTAACTACATAGTTTACATCACTAATCTTGCTTTCAATTTCATAAGGGCCATAAAACTTGGCCTGTAAAGGATGACCAGGAATAGGTAAAAATACAAGAACCTTATCGCCTGGCTTAAACACCCTATTTCTGGCATCTTTGTCATACCACATTTTCATCTTCATCTGAGAACTCTTCAAATTTTCTTGTGCTAATTTACAAGCATTGTAAAGTTTTTCTTTGAAATCAGACACATAATCTAAAAGATTAAGATCAGTAGTCTCAGTCAGCCACTTTTCCTTCAACAATTTCAAAGGACCTCTAACTGTATGACCGAACACCAATTCAAAAGGACTGAACCCAAGAGACTCCTGGACTGCTTCTCGTGCAGCAAATAGCACAAGATGAACCCCTTCGTCCCATTCTTTTTCATACTGGTAACAATAGGTCTTCAGCATTGTTTTTAGGGTTTGATGAAAGCGTTCTAGCGCTCCCTGGGACTCAGGATGATAAGCAGTTGATCTATATTGCCTTATACCCAACTCATGCATGACTTGCTGGAACAACCCCGACATAAAATTTGAGCCTTGATCCGACTGAATTGCCTTGGGTGCTCCTACAAAGCTGAAAAACTTGGTTAGGGCCTTAACTATGCTCTTTGCCTTTATATTCCTAAGAGGTATGGCTTCAGGGAATCGAGTGGATGTACACATAATGGTAAGTAAATACTGGTTCCCAGATCTGGTCCTAGGCAAAGGTCCTACACAATCCACCAACACTCGACTAAACGGTTCTTCAAAAGCTGGAATTGGTTGGAGAGGGGCGGATGGTATCTTCTGATTCGGTTTACCTACCATCTGACAGACATGACACGACTTACAAAACTCAGAAACATCCTTCCTTAGCTTAGGCCAATAAAAATGACTCAAAATCCTATTATAAGTCTTATTGATACCTAAATGACCAGCCATAGGTGTATCGTGAGCTAAACTCATGACATCTCGACGATAAGCAGCTGGGACCACTATCTGGTGAACAACACGCCACACTTCATCTGGGGAAGCGTCAGGTGGTCGCCATTTTCGCATAAGGATGCCATCTTTCATATAGAAGCATTCTCCAACTTTAGTAGCCTCTTCTGGTGGAAGTGCCCTCTTACTAAGTTGAATGATATCTGGGTCTTTATGTTGTTCAGAGAGTAAACGTTCTCGGCTGAGGATGTCCTTGCCTTGGCTAGCTAATGGATGCAACTCATCATCCTCACCACCAAATTTTGGTAAAAGTTCTTTCTTCTCTTGCTTCTTGATATGGTGTGGTTCCATGCTGGTTTGAGTGCCATCAAGGTCAGATAAGAAAGTGTCATTCAAATCAATATCAACAGAGGAAGTCGTCTCGTCAAAGGCTTGAGTATGGTCTGCCTCCATTTCTCGTCTTCTGGCCATCGCTCTAGTAACAGCACAGGCTGGATAAATGTCATCATCTTCATCATCGCACATAACATCTGGAGTGATTTTCTCACAAACTATAGGATCTGGTACAACTTTTCCACCAGCTAAATCGTTGCCTAGCAACAAAGAAATGCCTGGAACGGGAAGAGTAGGTCGAACACCTACGATAACAGGTCCAGTAACTAAATCTGACTTCAAACTAATTCTATGCAGGGGAACATCAATGACGCCTAGCTCCACACCCTGTAATAAAACTGACCCACCAGTAGAAGTCTGCTCAGACAAAGGAAGCACGCCCTCTAACAATAACGTCTGTGCAGCACCAGTATCTCTCAAAATCTGGACAGGTTTTATTTCGCTAGAGTCACCGAGTGAAACAAATCCCTGAGACATAAAGGGCTTATAATCCTCCATAGAATCAATAGAACTGGACTGTGAACCCTGGACATCAGGAGTGTCAGAACAAATCGAACCTAAGGTTTCTCTATCACCTCTAACTGCAGCACAAGCATGTGGCTGAGTTTTATCAAAGTCATTTTTTCTCTTAAGTTTAAAGCATTCACTGATCAGATGACATTTTTTCTTACAATAACTCCAAGTAGGAAGCGACCCTATTCCAGAAGATCCTTCAAAACGTCCTGGACCGGACTTAGAACCACCTTGGGATGGAGACTGGGAACTTGTGAAAGACTGAGACCCTGAACCACTCTTTTTATATGTGTCTGAATTGGTAGAATTACTGCTAGTCTGAGATCTTGATACAAAATTCTTTTTATGAGACAGAGCATAAGTATCAGATATGACTGCTGCCTCTTCAAGAGTTTTCACATTCTTATCTTCTAAATGTGTTTTCAAATCTTGAGGAACACATTCCTTAAACTCTTCTACCAGGATGACTTGGCGCAAATTAGCAAAGGTTTTATCAAGTTTCTTAGATCTAAACCAGTGATCAAATAAATCTTC